CAATCCACCACAAACAGACCTTGATTAGAAGGCAATTCATGAGCTTCAACATGGATACACTGCCTCCAATGTTGATCCGCCACCAAACCTTCTGAATCACAACCTTCTCGAGGGGGCTGACCCGCCACTGCTACCACCAGCATCCCCAGCTATTGGAACTCATGCTACCAACGGGATCCCTAGCCACTTCCACTCAGGAGAGGATGTATGCCACTGCCAAATCATGGCAGATGAGGATGTGCTCCACTAGACAGAGGAGTGGATGTCGCCGCCACCGAATGCCGCTGACTCCATTGTCGTCATTGAGACTTGAGATCCCCACGAAGGTTGAAGGCCGAACGAGGTCCTCGGTGAGGACTTTGACTAATGCGAGGCCGCGTGACACCAAGAAGCCACACCGCCGTCATCGGTAATGAGGAAGGCGACACTCGATCCAAAATTCTTTGATCTTATCCATAACTCCTCGAGATTTGTTTGCTTTACGTTTTTCGTTCCTTTGTGTACGCAGGGTTGGACGACTGCTCACCGCCTCATGATGGTTTCTGATGTGGATAACCAATCGAGTGTCAGAATATATGGGCTTGGCCGAACAGAAATTCTTGATAATTTTAAAAAAAAATCTCAAAGGCCCACTTAGGTGTGCATATGGAGGAGTGCGAGGACCTTTAGTCTCACCTTGCTAGTTGAGGTGAAGGTTGTCATACTTAAATATGGAAGCCCTCTTCACTTTTGTAAGTCTAGTGTGGGGAGAATGAAAGGAAACCCAAGCTATTGGTAAAATGAGGAGAGTAATGTATAATCTTCTCTATGCGAAGATGTACTCTTAAAGTTGCAAGGTAGGCTAGCAACATGTCTTAATGTGTGCATTCTTGAAAGAACACACCTATATGAGCCTGTTTGTGAAACATATCCGCAAGGAAGGTATTGAGATATGGTGGGATATTGTTGGAATATATGGGCTTAGCCCAATAGAAATTCCTAATAATAATTTCAAAGAAATCTCAAAAGCTCATTCATGTTTGCATATAGGGTACTGGAAGAACGTTTAGTCCCACCTTGCTAGTTGAAGTGGAGGTTGCCATGCTTAAATATGATATGTCTACTTATTAATTAGGATGCCAACTAAGAAAAAAGATGTGGCACTATATTTAAAGGAGATGAGAATGAGAATGGAGAGATGTGATAAGATGATATGTAGATAGAAGGCATGTGATTGGACAAGAAAATATGCTCTAGAAACTATCTACAAAAAATCATTAGAAACTATCTATTGAAAACATATGTTCTACCTACATAAAGATGATGTAGACAGAAGACATGTCATTGGACAGAAAATTATTCTCTAGAAACTCTCTATTGAAAATATAGTTTATATGTGTACAGTGTCTACATAAATAACTCTTTATTGAAAATATAGTTTATATGTTTATAGTGTCTACATAAATTAATACACATATAAAGTACAGGTAATTTTTAGTATTGAGACTGTCCAAAGTCTGCAGTAGTTTTTTTCCCGGGGAAAAAGAAGATAAAAGTTTATCTTTTCTACCTATTTGGTTTGAAGGTGAACAACTGATCATGACCAGATTGTTCCATAACGGAACTGTATATTCTACAAGTAATAAATGCCCCTGACAGCACAAGTATATATACACACCCAAGTAGGGCACATGCATGATGCATGCACTGGGATGGGGGTCTCGAATTTGCACCTTAGCAGTCAGCCCTATCAAATAAAAACCACCAGGACGGCGGCAGAGCACATTCCGAGCTAGCGCGTGTGCCGCGCGGCGAGTTCTTTATCAGATTGCGCTTCGTCGACTTGCCGGGCGATCAGCTGCTTCAGCTCTACTCCAGCTGTACTCGACGACTCGCCTTTTGGTGGAGTTCGTTCCCGTCCATCGATCTACCGCAGTTGCCGAACCTCCGCGCTTGCACTGCGTGCGCCACAAAGCGCGGAGGCATAGTAGTATGTTATTACACGCGCTCTTCGGGGCAACCGGCGGCCGGTTGCACCCATGCATTACCCTGTGGAACAAAGCGCGGTCGACACGTATATATGTCTGGATGCTAGAGCTAGAACGTGTCATCACACATGCACGTCATGTGTCTATGCAACCCGGCCGTACAGTAGTGTTTCTGTGTTTGGATCCATCCATAGAATTAATAGTAGGTTGCTAATAGCGCTTAACTCCTTTGGATCAAACATGTTCAGTTAATAGTCTACTAGCTAATTGTTAGAATATCCAACTATCAATTACTCCCTCCATATTAGGCCAGTCTTAGTGGAAGGTTTCACCACCCAGTTTTCAAGACGCGAAACATAACATGAAACGGATCTCTCTCTCGGTGCGTAGTTTCGTTGCACACAGTTTCATGGGTTATTTTAGACTTTTGTGGGTCCCACCGGTGTCTCTCTCTCTTTTCCCTCTCTCGCCGCCTGTGCGACGGTGGCCGGCACTGTAGCGCGCATCGCAGTTGGGGAGGGGCGGAGCCGCTTGCGCCGTGCCCGGCGGAGCTCATGCCCGCGCCGCTCCGGGGAGGGGCCGAGGGACCGGGGGCAGCGCCGGCGCTCGCAACGGCCGGAGGAGATGGCTCCCGCAGCGGAGCAGCGCTCGTCCGCGCCCGGCGGCCTCGCCCGCGACGGAGTAGCGCTCGCCCACGCCCGGCGGCACGCCCGGCAGCCTCACCACGACAGAGCCGCCCACGCCACGCCCGGCGGAGCTCGCGCCCGCACTGGGGAGAGGGGCGGAGCTGCCCGCGCCGCGCCGGGAGGGGCCGAGGGACCGGGGGCAGCGCTGGAGATGGAGCAGGGGCAGCGCCAACGCTCGCAACGGCCGGAAGAGATGGCGCCCGCGACGGTGGATGAAACGACGGAACGCCCTCAGTGGGGGTTTCGTGCGGTTTCCAACGTTTTGGAAACTACGCTCACTCGATCCATCCCCGCGAAACGTTTCCCATCTCTCTCCTCGATAGATGCAAAAGCTTCAATTCTGCTGATGTGGCACCCTATTTAATGTGCATGAAACCCCTATAAAACCTACATTGAGACTGACCTTACTAATTCAAGTTGTCTTGGACAGTGATACGGTCTCCAAAGCATAACTTTAACTTCTTATTTTTATAAAAATATTTATTGGAAAGTGATATATGTATATTTTTATAAAAGTGCTTTTCAAGAAAAATCTGTTCATATGGTTTTCATATTTTCAAACTCAACAACTTAAAAGTTATTCATGATTTATATTCCCAATGTTTGACCCAAGTCTTATCCAAAACGACTTGAATTACCAGTATGGAGGAAGTACCTCACTAGCTAGTTAATTGGGTCAAACCAGGTAGTAATTACATGCAGCTAATACTAGTTAGCTAACTATTATTATATAGCTATGATCTAGTATTAGCTAGCTAACTATTAGCAATAAATGGATCCAAAACAAGGTCGTCCTAGATAGTTCCATTGAAAACCCAAGGCATGCATATACCATCATGTGGCTGCCTGCCTGCATGTGGTCGATCAGATCAATCTATGTAAACTCGTGAATCTGGCTGCAATATATATATGAAATGAAACCACTGGAGCCGATCCGACAAACGCAGAATTTATCAGCGCGTGTGGCGCGAGCTGAATTTGATTAAACATCGATCGTGGGTCAGCTGCTTGAGCTGTTACATGCATCTTCCAAATTATACTAAGCAAATATATGAAATGAAACCCACTGGAGCCGATCCGACAACGCAGAATTTATCAGCGCGTGTGGCGCGCGCTGAATTTGATTAAACATCGATCGTGGGTCAGCTGCTTGAGCTGTTACATGCATCTTTCCAAATTATACTAAGCAACATGTGCTTATCCGTTGTGGGTCTGAGTAATAAACGTTAGTTGGTTTTAATTTTAACCTAGCAGCCTAGCATGCCTTCATTACAGTACAGAACTCAGCACCTCGATCGAAACATTCACATTCACATTCACTAGGAGCGGATTTCTTATATTATACGGAGTATAGTATATTATATATATATATATATATATATATATATATATATATATATATATATATATATATATAATAACCAGCAAATTAACATTGCATGTGAACTGCTGCGCTGAATGCAACTTTCTGCAGGTGACGGATCGATCGATCTTTTGCTTCTTTTGCAGCTAGCTCTCGCCTGTGATCATAGTTTTTTCTCATCGAACTTGCTACATCTATAGGATCGCTTTTATTTGACAATCCTTTAGCAGCTAGCAGCTAATATAATGCCACACGCGCATACAAATTTACCCAACTAGCTGAATTAATATATAATAAATTAAAACCCATCTGTGTATATATCTGCTGCTTGCAGAATTTCCATCTCTCTGCTGTCCAAATTAAACAAAATCCTAGCTCGAATAATAATCCAAAGCCAATTAGACAAATTAATTAAGAGCACCGCCGCGCTCGGGGGGCCGGGACGTATGAGTGAGTTGGATCATTCTCATCAATCAACAGATAAACAAATGGAAGCTCGCGCAACTAGACATACTCTACACTACACCGCAGTCAGTCAGTCAGTCAGCTGCTTCCACTGTAGGTACGTGCGATTTCTTCCCAAGATGCGGTGCTATGCCATGCATTGCAATTCTTGTCGACCGCAACCGCAACGTGCACCGCCACAAAACGCGGCGGCCGGGCCGGGCCGGGCAGGGATGGACGACGAGCGAGAGCGACTTGTCGATCGATCTCTTCTCTGCTGCTGGGCCTCTATAAATTGCATTGCACTTGCAACCCCATTATCACATAACCCTGAGCTAGCACACCGTATTCACGGCCTAGCTAAGCGATCGATCAAGGGCGCAACTAGCTAGCTAGCGCAAAACAAACCAACGACACAGCCTGCACAGACAGACAGATAGATAGATAGATAGATCGAGAATTCGAGATCGATCGATGATGGCTGCTTGGAATAATAAGCATGCTGCCATAATCATCACCTTGCTCGCGTTCCTCGCACCCATGGCGTGCCATGGCGGCGGCCTCATCAATTTCACTATCCTCTGCTCGGGAGGGTGGGTTCGCCCAATAACAGTAGTCAGACTCCCGCCGTTAGTGACCATCACGATCGGCTGTCCTAATGGCTCCAGCGAGACCCCTATGCCTGCAAGTCCGAACGAGCCTGCTCCTCCCTCGGGAGCAGGGCTTTACTTGGACTACTACAACAGCAGCTACTCCAATTACGCGTGCCCTAACGCGGAGAGCATCGTCAGGGAGGTCGTGGAGAAGGCGATCGCGTACCAGGGCCGTGGCATCGGCGCCGGTCTCATTCGTCTCCACTTCCATGACTGCTTTGTTGAGGTACATTACAATTACAATTACATTCAATTCGTCGACTCCGTCGTACGTCCAGCGACGACGACGACGTGATTTTTATTTCATTCTCAATTCTCATCATCTTCGATCGATCAGGGATGCGATGGTTCCGTTCTCCTGAACACGACGGCATCAGGGAACAACGACACGGAGAGGGAAGGCGCGCCCAACAAGAACAGCCTGCGCGGGTTCGACGTCATCGACCAGGCCAAGGCCGCGCTGGAGAGCGCCTGCCCCAGCGCGGTCTCCTGCGCCGACATCCTCGCGTTCGCCGCGCGCGACGCCGCCGCGCGCAACCTCAGCAGCGGCAAGATCAACTACACGATACCGGCCGGTCGCTGGGACGGGCGCGAGTCCTTCGCCAACCAGACCGGCACGCTGCCCGGGCCCTTCTCCAACCTCGACACTCTCGTGGCCAAATTCGCCGCCCAGAGGCTCAACCGGACCGACCTGGTCCTTCTCTCCGCCGCTCACTCCATCGGCCGCGCCCGCTGCATCTTCATCTCCAGCCGCCCGGGCATGAACCAGACCCTCGTGAAGGACCTCAACGGGGAGTGCCAGAGTAACCCCAGTGTGAACCAAGACTACAAGACCCCTGACGACCTGGACAGCCAGTACTACCAGAACGTGGTCGACAACGACGCGCTCTTCGACTCGGACGCTGCGCTTACCAACTCCACAGACACCAACGCACTGGTGGATACCTACAGGACTAACTTGATGAACAAGTGGGAGAAGGACTTTGGGGAAGCCATGGTGAAGATGGGCAAAATCAATACCAAGACCAAAGGCGACAAGGGCGTCGAGATAAGGAACCAATGCTGGACTTACAACGCGCCTCCCAACTACTGATCGATCGATCGATCAGCCGCTTTTGACTCTGCATCCATCTCGATCCATGGTTTTCGCATGCATATATATTACCATTAATTTCTCGTATACTGTGTAGTACTGCATCTGCGTGCGTGTATCCAATTTCATCACACTTCGCTCTATGGCAGGGCGCTTCGTTTATTGAATAATACGGTATACACTACCGGAGACTGTGTAGTTACCGAGTGCCCAGAAAATTACCGAGTGTCAAAAGTCGGGACACTCGGAAAACATTTATTACCGAGTGCCAACACTCGGAAAACATAAACACCCGGTAGTAGACCTCTTTACCGAGTCCGAACACTCGGTAACCTCAAACACTCGGTAGAACTACAATTTTACCGAAGGGGCGCACTCGGTAAAAAGAGACACTCGGTATTGAGCTGCCACGTCTTCTAGTATACCAACCGTGCGCCAAACGGCGTCACGGCATGACATGTTTGCCGAGTGTAGAAGTATTTGCACTCGGTAATAATAAAGTTTTACCGAGTGTAAGTTCACAACACTCGGTAAACACTATCTTTTACCGAGTGTACTGGCGCAACACTCGGTAAAATTCAACCAAATTTCTTGTTTTTCCCTTCATTCTTTTTCCTCTATCCACATATGATATTTAGTACTCCATTCCAAAATATGGTGTTTATTTCGATTTATTTACTATATTTCACAAAATTTTCATTCTTTATGATAATTAGATACATATCGTGTAAATTTAATTGTAATAATGAAAATCGAACTCGATAAATCACGAGATTGGAAGAATTAACATTGAAGCATACATCTATATTATAGAAAAATTTTCATAACGTTTCGGAAGTATTTTTACATTCGTCATTTGCCGAACGGTACATCTCCCAAAGAGACACTAAACATTCACAATGGCGAATAGGATTTCTATTAAGAGTGAAATTCAACATTATGATTTGAACTTGGAATTTTTAGATAGTAAATAGATGACATGAAATAGTTCGTGTGAAAGTTTGGTGAATTTTAGGATTAAATTGGCATTTTTTTCTTTTTGTTTTGCATGAAATAATGGATCTGATTACGAAAGTGTGACACAAACACTCGGTAAAAGGTTCCACGGCCCACTTCTACCGGCTGCCATGCTTCTGTTTACCGAGTGCCGTAGATCTGGGCACTCGGTAAACATGTACCAGGCCCACATGTCCTTTGGGCTGCGTGCCGTGCTTTACATTTTATCGAGTGCCGTAGATCTGGGCACTCGGTAAACATGTACCTGCCGCAGCCAGACTCGACTTCGCCTCGCCCTCCACCGAGAGACTCGACTCGCCCTCCACCCGAGACTCCCGCATGACTCGCCCTCCACCCGAGACTCGACTCGCCTCACGCGCCGCCCGCCGTCCACCGCGACTCGCCTTGCCATCTCCCACTGGCCCTCCACCCGCGACTTCGCCTCGCCGCGCCGCCCGCCGTCCACCCGCAACTCGCCTCACGCGCCGTCCGTGACTCGCCTCACGCCTCGCCTCGGCTTCATCCACGGACGTCGCCCGCCCACCCGCCCGCCGCCGTCGGGGACCTTTGGCCGCCCAGCGTCATCCATGAGCGGGAAGAAGGCCGTCGCCCCAGCGATCATCAGGTCGATTCAGTTCCAAGACTCCATCTTCTACCTCTGTCATTGCCAGCAGCCCACGAGGCGCGGCGCGCGGGCAGCATCCACGCTAAGCGGCAGGGTGGGGCTGGGGCACGCAAGCCTGCGATGGGCGAGAGGAGATGAGAGCGAGTAGAGAGCCCGTTACGGATAGTTCCACTCGCTAATTGATCTTCAAACGATTTACAGTTCATGATCTGCCCTTTATTTTCTATGATGATTCCATTCTCGGTTGTCTCCGTGTTAATGTCTATATTTGAATTAACTTTAACCAAGTGTTACATATACAAATGGAAAAAAAAGAGGGGCAGAAATTCATTTCATGCTTGCATTTTGTTAGCAGGGAAAAGAAGGGCAGATCAGCGGGGTGCTGCAAGAAGCTTACACGCCGTTGACGGGGCAGCAGTAGGTGCTCGGTGACGACGGTGCCGCCGCGAACGAGCGGGCCAGCTGGGAGCGGTGGGTGCCGCAGATGCTTTAGGCGGCAGACATTGCTCCTCCTGTCTGGTGAGCTTCACTGGGAAGAGAGTGGTGTTCCTCATCAAGCAGCTCAAGTCCGGCATACTCGTGTCTGGTGAGCATTGCTCCTCCTCGTGGGGCGTTTTAATTTATGTCCTATATACACTTCCATGGTTTGTATCTTTTTAATGAAATAGAGCTGAGAGTGCCAAATATGTCAGGGTATGGCTAACAGATATGATTTCATATATGGATCGTGTAACTTCTGAGAGATTGGGCCTGTTTCAGCTGACCTTGCACTCAGTTTGTGATCAAATATGATTTCAGTTTCAGCAGAAATCTGCACTTTCAATACCATACATACATTAGGGCTTTAATAGTATGAGTGACAATTTTGCATATCAACAAAAATTTCGCAATGCCATAATGTTTTGGACTTCTCACTGTCTGTTCGGTTCGTTCTGTGTGAACTGTGAGAGGTATGATTATGAAGAACTTAGGATGGCTGTAAACAGTTTCATCTGTAGGACTGTAACCCAAAAATTTATATTGTGTTAGAATTCAATTTATGTTACCATTGTTGTGTAGTTGGGGTTTGGCAGGTTTGATCTAGGGGCAGCGTAAGTGCATAGAGTGTGAAATGATGTGGTCAATTCTGAAATAACTGCATGAAGTGGGGGAGTCTGTTGAGAGGACTTTTGAGGCGTTGAGCTTTAGGAAAGGGAGGAGACCACAAAACTAGTTTTATAAACCAGAAAAACAACTGAAATATGGTTTGGTTCACATGATCACTTCCTTCTTGCCAAATGCACATTGTTCAGCGTAGGGTATAATCATATATTAAAATCAAGAAAAAATAACTCACAGAAACTTCCATGAATTGCACAATAGGAGATATACTCTTATTTTTTCTTTCAGAAATATGTAAATTCTGTTTGAGCTTCAGATCATAAATGTTGTATTAATGAATTAGCTACAATCTAAAAATAGATTAGATGTACCCCACAAAACTAGTATTGAATTGTTGGGCTCCTCAAGAACAACCCAACTTTGCATTGAATTGTTGGGGGCTCCTCCTCAGAGAGGAAGAACCCTCCAAAAATAGGCGTATGCTGCTTGGTGCAGTGGGCACACGCTATTCTTTAGTAAAAGGCGAAAGAATAGTTAGCTCTGCTGTGCCCATGGGCAGGCACGGCCAGCTTTGCTGATCTGAATTTCATGAGTGAAGGCAAGGAGGGCACGGCCAGCTTGTCATCGGTGATTTGTTTGTGGTAGTGTCATGCCATGTGACCTATAGTGCTGCGATAGAACCTAGCGCCCCTTTGTGTGCTAGCCACATGGTTGTTTGCTAGGCGCTATTTGGTGCTTCGGGTATATGGTTGAGACACGCTACAAAACCTGCTGATGCTCTACCTCAATCTTGATAAATCTTGCTAGTGATGGTTGTGGCTACAAAAAATTGGTTCCATGTATTCCTCCATCTACAAGTGACATAGCGGCCTTTCAACCTTAGGTAAAATCTCATCATCCAATCTAGCAAACATCTTCTATGTGAATCGACCAAGAACATGAATGTCTCTTTATCATCTCATATGGTTTTCTCTAGCACTACTACTCTATTGCTCTAAAGCGCAATATCGTCTATATGTTAGGATGGATGACCGTCGGTGGATGTCTGCGGGCTATCAGAAGAGGGGTCAATACACAAATGAATGGATTGAGAAGGCCAATGATTTCATGACGAAGGCATTTGCAAAGCGGACGGCGACATGCCCTGGTGTCCCCTGTAGGAAGTGTAAGAACAAGGCAATGAAAACATATGAGGAGATGAGTAAAGATCTTGTCAACAATGGATTTGTAGAGAACTATACCCGGTGGACCATGCATGGTGAACGCATCATCGATGCGAGAGAAGAGGTCGTGAGACAACGGATCGAGGAGTTTGATTCTGAAGCCGGGTGGGCGAAATGTTAAATGACCATGACATGGCTTTCGATGAAGGAAGTGCGAGCGAGGAGCGAAAGCAAAGCGCAAAGGCGTTTTACGCCATGTTGGATGCGGCACAACAACCCCTTCACGGGCGCACCAATGTTTCTAAACTGGATGCCATTGCACGTCTAATGTTTGTGAAGTCCCGATTTAGGCTGGAGTAGAGAATCCTTCGATCAAGCTGTTGGCGATAGTTGGCACCCTACTTCCGGATGATCACGTTCGCCAAAAAGAACACATATGAGTCAAATAAAATCTTCGTGCACTCAAGATGTCGTGACGAGCGAGATACATGCTTGTCCGAACGGATGCATCTTATTCGAGGGAGAACATGCCGGCGATAAATCTTGTCCGAAGTGTAAGGCATCTAGGTACATTGAGTTAGAATCTGGTGATGGTCGGAAGAGCGCAAACAAAAAGTCGGCGCAAAGATCACGAGGTACCTTCCTTTCATACCGAGGATCCAACGGCTTTTCATGAGCGAGAATCCGCAAAGCAGATGACGTGGCACACAAAAGCGGGCGCCGATACATCGACAAGATGATACATCCGTCCGATGGTGAATCATGGAAAAGCTTCGATCGAAGCATACCGACAAAAGCCGATGAGGCTCGTAATGTACGCATTGCTTTGGCAACCGATGGGTTCAATCCTTATGGAATGGGTTCTTCACCATACACATGTTGGCCCGTATTCGTCATCCCTCTCAACCTCCCACTGGCGTCGCCTTTCAACGGCAAAATATTTTCTTGTCACTTATAATTCCGGGACACCGGGGCTAATATGAGTGTGTACATGGAGCCTTTGATAGAGCGATTTGGTCCGTGCATGGGACGAAGGGGTAGTGACATACGACCGATTCACAAAGACAAACTTCAGAATGCATATTTGGTACCATTATTCCATGCATGACTTCACG